TAACCCTAACTCTCTACTTGTGGTTACTTGTCTCTTAGCTCTTACTTATCATATTGTACTTGCTTACTCACTTTTTATCTTGCTTAGCCCTTAGCATCATACTTGCAATTGTTAGGCTCACTTTCATATTCCTCACTATTGCTTAAAATTGCTAAGTAATTAAAATTTGTAATTGTACCTATTCACCCCCCCCTCTAGGTCCATCTCGATCCTTTCAACAAGCCCCGCACAGCTCTGCCTCCACGGCGGGCATTCGCTCTATGGCATCCATGAGAGGTGGCTTCAGCCGCCCTGGTGTCGATCTGGTCCTTGCTGCTGGAGGAGGCCCTCTCCACCCCTCCTCCTGGTTTGATCCAATGGTGACCGCACGACGTCGACCTCCCGGATGGCGTGAGGTCCTAGCGGCAACATCAAGCCCATTGCGATTGGATCGATTTTATGTGGCTCCGGTGGAAACATGGAACACGTCCCACTGTTACATGGGCTCCTGAGGCCAGGTCGGCAACATCCAATTGCTCCGTGCGCGGGGGTTATTTCCATCTATGTTTGCTTTTGCGTTCATTTTGCGTGCCAAAAACAGGTGAGCGAATCGGGATGCAGCCGTGTTTTTTTTTGCGATGATGTTGCTCCATGTTCTTTTTGCGATTCAAGTGTTTGTTTTGTACATGTTCATAGTGGTCGTTTTTTTACGATTTCTGTGGTTTTCATCGTCAATGTTTGAACACATGCAGCTAGGTTTTCCATTTTAATTTTAGAGGCGACAAGCAACTTTGTTTTTCAAAATGGAAATTCAGCGATGATCATGTTTTATTAGCATAGGTTCAGAGAGATAACTTTAGTGAGTAAATAAATTAATTTTTTGTAGGTCAGTTCTGATGTATGTTCAATAGCTCAATTTTGTTTTGATCTACTACGTTTAGTCAATGATAGCTCTAGCATCAACACTAACTGTCACTCTCATGCCACCCTATGGACACCGCTGACCAAGGTGCTTGTCGTGGGTACATCCACCAGATTTTCGTATCTTGTGTGGTCACACTTAATGTTTGGTAAAACATGAAACTCCAGTGTCTATAGATATCGTCTGTAGATTGAATGTATCTATAATTTTCGATTATTTCATGCTATTATATATTTATATTATCCATCTTGGATGTTTTATATGCATTATTATGCTATTTTATATTATTATTTGGGACTAATCTATTAACCTAGTGTCTAGTACTAGTTGTTATTTTTCCTTATTTTCGTCTTTTACAGAAAACCAATACCAAACGGAGTCCAAACATATGAAAACTTTTGACAATTTTTCTTGGACAAGAAGACACCCACGAAGCTTCGGGAGTAGGCCAGAAGAGCCATGGGTGAGCCACAAGCTCCCCAGGCGCGCCCTGCGGGGTAGTGTGGCCTATGAGCTTGTGGGCCCCATGGGACTCCTCCAACCCTAATCTCAGCTCCATAAATACCCAAATATTCCCTGTATACCATAGGGCACACCAAAAATACTTTTTCGCCGCCGCAAGTTTATGTCCTCCTGAGATCCCATCTGGAGACCTGTTCCGGTACTCTGCCAGATTCGATCGTCGGTATCTCTATACCGAGTTCAATCTCGTTACCAGAAAGTCTCTTTACTCGTTACGGAATACATCACCTCATGACTAACTCCTTAGTCATTTGCTTGCAAGCTTATGATGTGTATTACCGAGAGGGCCCAGAGATACCTCTCCGATACTCGGAATGACAAATCCTAATCTCGATCTATGCCAACTCAACAAACACCTTCGGAGATACATGTAGAGCATCTTTATGATCACTCAGTTACGTTGTGACATTTGATAGCACACAAGGCATCCCTCCAGTATCCGAGAGTTGCATAATCTCATAGTCGAAGGAATATGTATTTGACATCAAGAAAGCAATAGCAATAAAACTGCACGATCATTATGCTAAGTGATACGTCTCCAACGTATCTATAATTTTTCATTGTTCCATGCTATTATATATCTATCTTGGATGTTTTATATGCATTTATATGCTATTTTATATGATTTTTGGGACTAACCTATTAACCTAGAGCCCAATGCGAGTTTCTGTTCTTTCCTTGTTTTTGAGCTTCGCAGAAAAGTAATATCAAACGGTGTGCAATTGATCTGAAACTTCACGACGATTTTTTTTGGACCAAAATAAGCCCACAGAGTACCAGAGATGCATCAGAAGAGTCCCGAGGCCACCACAAGGGTGGAGGGCGCCCCCACCCCCCTAGGGCGCACCCTCTGACCTTGTGGGCCCCTCGTGGACTCCCCTGACTTGTTCTCGACGTCAACACCTATTATATATATATCCCCAAACCTCTAGAACAGAACCTAGACCAGGAGTTCCACCGCCACAAGCCTCTGTAGCAACCAAAAACCAATCGGGGCCCTGTCCCGGCACCCTGCCGGAGGGGGAAATCATCACCGGTGGCCATCTTCATCATCTCGGCGCTCTCCATGACGAGGAGGAAGTAGTTCACCCTCGGGGCTGAGGGTA